TACTAATTACTACTACTACTAATTATTATTATTACTACTACTACTACTACTACTGCTACTACTACTACTACTACTACTACTACTACTACTACTACTACTACTACTTTACTACTACTACTACTACTACTACTACTACTACTACTACTACTACTACTACTACTACTACTACTACTACTACTACTACTACTACTACTACTACTACTACTACGACTACGACTACGACTACGACTACGAATACTACTACTACTACTACTACTACTACTACTACTACTACTACTACTACTACTACTACTACTACTACTACTACTACTACTACTACTACTACTACTACTACTACTACTACTACTACTACTACTACTACTACTACTACTACTACGACTACGAATACGACGACTACTACTACTACTACTACTACTACTACTACTACTACTACTACTACTACTACTACTACTACTGACGACTGTACGACGGAGCGGACGACGACGACGACGACGAGTACGACTGACACGACGACGACGACGACGAACTACGACTATACGACGACGACGACCACGACGACGACACGACGACGTGTCCTACTACGACTACGACTACGAATAATACTACTACTACTACGACTACTCTCCCTCCTCCTCCTCCTCCTCTGCTCTCCTCCCCTCCCCTTCCTCCTCCTTCTTCTCCTCTCCTCCTCCTCTCCTCATTTCCCTCCTTCATTATCCCGTCTCCTCCTCCTCCTCCTCCTCCTCCTTCTCCTTCTCCTCCTCCTTGTTCTCCTTCTCCTCCTCCACCTCCTCCTCCTCCTCATCCTTCTCCTACTCGAGGCCTCTCAGATCCCAGGCAGCGTCTGTCTTCCTCCCCCTGAACAGCAGAGACCACAGGCCACGAGACGATCGAAAGGGAATCTCCTGCGCCGTATGCTCTTCTACTGGGCCCTGTCCCGCAGGCGAGCATTGGCAGCCTGCCACCGGGCGCCAAGTGGAGCGCTCCAAACCCAGACCCCCTCGCGTTGTGAACAAAAGGCACGACCGGAGATTATTCGCCATGTTCGAGCTGGTTCCCCCATGCTTCCTTCATCGAGAACAAAGTAACCCCTAACCCTAGAAATGCAATGAAGACGTGGCCTCACTGAGGACTCCTTTTTCGCATCAGCGCTAATACATATGGGCGGTCTGGTTCGATACGTCTGCACAAGAGACCCCCTATCCCTGATGTTACTGGCCCTTTTATGCCCAGTCGGGTTAGGGACCCTTTCATGCCTGAGCCATGTCGTTCCCCCCATCGGGGAGTGACGAGGCCGTCTTCTTCTCCTGCTGCCGCGGCACCCGCCGGCGCGCCTCCTCTCTCTCTCTCTCTCTATCCCAGCCTCGCGCTGCCCGCGCCTGCGCCCGCGCGCGCGGCCTCGCGCCGACACCTTCCTTGAGGAGGAGGAGGAGGAGGAGGAGGAGGAGGAGGAGGCGGAGGAGGAGGATGAGGAGGAGAAGGAGGAGGAGGAGGAGCAGGAGGAGGAGGAGGATGAGTCCAGGTCGAAGCCTCAGTACTATCGCAAGGCTCCTCAGTGCGAGGAGGTTGGGGAGGGTGCTAGGTTATCTTATGTTACGCTACGACGGAGCATGAAGGCGTGTGGCCGTCGTTCGCCAAGAGCGAAAGGTGGACCAGGGGTATCTACCATCTTTGCCACTTGCCCGCCCTCAGGATGGGAGGTTTCCTCCCAGGGAGGTCTGCCGCTTGCAGCGCGAAGGTTGATTCGTGGGCGTCTCCCAATTCACCCGCAGGCAGCACTCTTTTTTTTTTTTTTTTTTTTTTGTTCTCTCTCTCTCTCTCTCTCTCTTTTCGCCGTTCAGTCCTGGCCTTTCCGCTGCAATGAAGACGAGCTTCCCTTGGTGATTTGCGCTCCTCCTTCCCAGTAGGAAGGGAGGGAGGGAGGGGAAGAGGGAGAAGGAGGAGGTGTTCTTCTCCTCCTCCTCCTCCTCCTCCTCCTGGCGCTGACGCTGCGGAGAGGCTCAGGTCGAAGCCTCGCCTCGGCGCCCACGCCACGGGGACAAAAGCGCCGACAGGAGGGCAATGCGGCGATCCGCGTGCCAAGAAAATGAGTAAGTAGCTGAAGGGCAAGGGAGTCAACGCTACTGCAGGGGGGCGGTCAGCCAATCCCCTCTGGCCGATCTGGGGCTGGGAGCCACGTGGGGCTGCCTTACCATGCGCACGCTTTGCGCACTCATGCCGTCATGCAGGCTCCTCGGCGCCCCCTCCGCGGAGCCGTAGCCGTGGACCCAGACATGCGACATCCTGATCTGTTCGATACGCGGTCCCCAGAAGTCCCGACCCTTTCCCCAGGGACTCGTTTTTCGTCCCGAGTCGTCTTGTGACGGTGCCGAGGCCCCGCGAGGGCCCCTCGAGGCCGACAACGGCCAAAAGCTTGCCGTCCTGATTTCATAACGACGCGATCATGTCTGGGTTTAGGTCGGGCATGTCCTCCTACGGGCGAATTTTGGAAGAAACAGTTGTCAAACGAATCGGCAAAAGTAGCCAAAAATGATCGAAACGTCATCCCCAGACTTGTTTACTACTCTCGAATACTCCTCCTGTGGAGGGACACGCACGACTTACCGCCATTGGCGTAAAAAACGCCCACCAGGCGTAAAGGTCAACGCTGATGTACTCCGGACCCCCCTGCCCCCTATTTCAATGTTGAAAGCGGGGCTGCCTTGGCGGTGAAGATCTGGTCGTTTCTTATGCCGATGCTTGCACCCCGACAGTGGCCGCGAACGCAACATTGAAATGGGGGGTCTGGGGGCGGGCACTGCAGCGTCGTTTCTAGATGGGCGTTTCTTACGCCAGCAGCGGTAGGCCTGGGCCCTTCCCTTCCTGACCCGGGCCTCGGAGCTGCTGCACGGCTGGCCCAGAGCTCGCGACATGGCTGCGGCCGGCCTGGGCTGGCGCTTGCCCCGGGCCGGCGCCGATCCCCGATCGGCGCCCCTCCTGGGGCTCCTCTGGACGGCCGCCTGGGGGACCCAGACAGGATCGCGTCGTAAAAAAAAGATCAGGGCGGGAGGTCTTGTTGCCAGTTTTCGGCCTCGGGGAACCCTGGCCGGGCCTCGTCAAGAGACGACTCGGGACGAAAAGCCGGTCCCAGGGAACAGGTCACAGACATGCGACGTCCTAATTTTTTCCATACGGCGTCCCTGATAGTCCCGACCCTTTCCCCTGGACCGGCGTTTCATCCTTAGTCATTTTGTGACGGTCCGGGGGCCCGGCGAGGGCCCCCCGACGCCGAAAACTGACAAACACTTGCCGCCCTGATCCTCTAACGACGCGATCATGTCTGGTGTCGGGACTTCCAGGGACCCCGCATCGAAGAAATCAGGACGTCGCATGTCTGGGGTGCACGCCGAGCCAAGCAGCAGCGTCGCCGGCGCGCGGGTCGTTCCGCGGCGCGCGGCCCGCATCATATCTGCGCCTCGGGTCTGGGCTGGAGGGAGAGAGGCAGGAGGAGGGAGGGAGGGAGGGGGAGGAGGGAGAGAGGGCGGGGGGGGCGTCCAGGGGGGCCAAGAGCAGCGCAGGGACTGTCTGGGCCCTTCCCAGGTACGGCAGGCCCTCACTCTGGCCCAACGTGAAAGCGCACACGGTCCAGACGCTGAAATCAGCACCGTTCTGGGCTCAGGAGGGGCTCTGGTTTTCGGGCCGTCCCTCAGGTCTCGGCTGGCGGTCCTTTTCGTGGCCGAGGCTCGCCGTGGCCAGAAAGTCCGTTCGTTCCTTCTTCGGCGTTGCACGTGGTGGCGCGACAATTGTATGCCCTTCTGCGTGCCTGTGTGCGTGTGGCCTCCACTCTGGCTCAAGCACTTCGCCTCAAGCTTTCCTTCTCTTTTCTCACTCTGACGCTACCGCGGTCGCCGCACGAGCCACACGAGCCCGTGGCACCATGGCCAGCGAGCGCCAGGAGGCAGAGACCACCCGGAGGCCAGACGCTGACGACGAGCTGGCGAGGCAGCTGGTGGCCCAGCAGGAGCAGATCAGGGGTCTGGAGCTCCAGGCCATTGTCCTCTTCTCGCTGCGAAGAAGTCACGGCGCATCGTTTGTTGCTGAGTTTTTTCACTCTTGCAGAATAAGAATTGGCCCGGTTCCACTTGTATGTTTCAGTTGAAGTGCCTCCCCCGGGGCCAGCGCCTCACTATCTTAATCGGGAAAGTCTTCTTGCACCCCTGGCCCGAGGACGACCACCAGAATGGCTCCGTCGAGGTTTCCGCCCGATTTCCTTCGGAATCGCGCCCTTTCTTGCCTCGAACGTCCTTGCCATTTACTCAGGCGTTGCGCTCTCGACGCGCAGGAGTCCTGCTCTCGCGTGAGACACTCGAGCAATGCGTCCAGGACTTGCGCTCTCGCCTGGCAGCTCATAGAGTTCGCTCCAAGGCCCCGCCCGCCCGACCCGCCCGTCGGGACCCGCTCGCCTGACGGCCCGCTCGCCCGACCCGCCCGCCAGAGCGCGTCAGCCCGCCCTTCCCGTCGGAGCCCGCCCGTTCGCCTGCCTGGGAGGCCCGCCCGCCCGCTTTCACTGTCCCGCCCGACCCGCTCCGTTAGGATCCGCCGGCCCGACCCGTCCCATGGGGATCCGCCCGCCCCACGCGTCCGTGAGGGTCCTCCCGCGCGACCTGCCTGTCAGGGTCCGCCCGTTCGCGCACCTGGAAGCTCCTGCTCGCTGCAGTGCCCCCTCCCGCCCGACCCGCCCGTCGGGGTCGGCCCGCCCGTCCAGCCAGTTCGGTCCGGCCCGCCGGACCCACCCGTCAGGATCCGCTTGCCAAAATTATTGTGCCCCTCTCCACCCTCTCCCGCTATATCGTCTTCGCCCTCAATCCATCTCCCTTCCTCTTTCCACTCTCCTTCCTCGTTTCTTACTCCTTTTTGTCCTTCTGCCCCTCCTATTTTCGAAGCCGAGCCACCTATACGTGGCAATCAAATCATATCTACGTGCTCCCAGAACGGGGAGTACGATCGAAGACGAAGAGGGCGGGCATCGATGCTTTGGAGGATACATGTTGAATGGCACGCACTAAACGAAAAGCTAACGTTTTGAAGATGATTGAGTTCTCCTGCCTGGAGACAAATGCTAACCAGTGCGGACCCCAAACAGTGTGTTTTTAGCGATCTATGTTGTACAACATATGCTGTGCAATCCATGTGGTGCAGTCTATGCTGTACAACATACGTAGTGCAATCAATGCTGTGTAGTCTAAGATATGCAGCGCAACATATGTTGTGTAGCCAGCGTGGTGCAGTTTATGCTGTGCAAGATATGCGCTGTGTGTGCGATCAAAAAGCGCGACGCGAGCGCAACACACACACATACATCGTCCAGCCCGCGCATGCTCGCGCGCGCAGCGGCTAGCTAGTATGGCGCGACCGACGCGCCCGCGGTGGAGCTGACCGCTGGGCACTTCCAAGTGAGCACTTGATTGCGAGTCGGCGATTTTGGCGGGCACTGTATCATGGCAGCGTCGTCGACGGTAGACACGATGATGATCGTAGCGATGCTTGTGGCGATGGTGACAACGACGACGGCAAGGCCAGTGACGGCGCCGATGCTGATCACGTCGCGACGATGACGGCGCTTTCGCGTCGGTGATGAAGGTTTCAGGTTTTGGAAGGAGTTCGTCATGCGCCCGCGGCCGACGCGCGAGAGTGGCCCGCATTGTTTGTTGTCACTATTTGACACGGTTCGTGTCCCCTCCGGCGCGCGGTCAATGGCTTTCGAATGATTTCAGCATCTGGCACCAAAGGCCCGTTTGTCAGAATTTAATGAAGATTTTGAAAATGGAAAAGTCCCTAATGGAAGTTTCCCTTTTTCTCTCTAAATTGATGTTGCACAACCATGTGTTTTATATGCTTTCGGGAAACTCGAATTTGAAATCCTTACAACACCCAATTTTTATGAAAAATCTAGGACTGCGCGCGCGACGACGCGCGCGTGTGCACTTCGTCCGATTCGTTGCAAGGGATTGCACGGGATTCTTGCGACAGCACGCGCGCAAGGGCGTTCGCGCGATTTCGGCATGCGCGCGCGAGAGGTTCGTTTGGTAGCTTGTGATGAACAAGTTGAAAACATATGGAACCCTTAGAAAGAATTTGCAGGAGTGCGGGCGCATACTTTGTTTGAACATTCTTGTTGCGAAATCATGTCGGGTGTTATTCGTTTTCGGGACAGCCGACTTCGAAATCCCTACGAAACCGTAGGTTGTTGAAGTATTCCGGCATGCGCGCGCGACGACGCGCGCGTGCGCACTTCGTTTTTTTCCCGCAAGCGAATTCTTGACAAGTGATGATTTGTGAAAAACGCGTGCGCGCATAGTTCTTCTGCAAAGAATGAGAAAGGGGGGCCGGCTTAGCTGGACGATGAAGCAGAATCACATGTAAATTGCACCACGATAGAGGGAATCTGGTAATTCCGGGAGGGGGATATCCTAATACCCGCTTGCAAAAAGGAAATCTATCTTGTACAAGTTATATACGCAGTGCAATGGATGTGGTTGTGCAATAAATGCGGTGCAAGCGAAGCTGCGCAATGTATGTGGTGGAATCACTGTTGGGAACGAACCGAAGATTCGCCGCAAACGCGCTTTCTGTTGCAATCCATATGGTTCACTCCAAAGGCGGCGGCGGGCGGCGAAGCGACGACGGGGCGGCGACGGCGGGAACATAGCCGCCAGACCGACCACACGGCCCAGACGGCGAGCGGCGACGGGGCGGCAACGGCGGGAACATAGCTGCCACACCGACCACACGGCCCAGACGACGGGCGGCGATGAAGCGGCGACGGGGCGGCGACGGCGGGAAAGTAACCGCCAGACCGACCACACGGCCCAGACGACAGGCGGCGACGAGGCGGTGACGGGGCGGCGACGGCGGGAGCATGGCCACCAGACCGACCACACGGCCCAGTTCCTTAGAGCAGAAGGAAGAACCCCTAAGTGCAAGCATTGTTCGGGGAATGCGTGTTGATCCTTCTTCACCGGTACCCAAAGCGTTTTGCAATTGAAGTGCCCCCCCTGGGTTCGTATTTGCGTTGCTCCCTCCCCCGGGATTTTTTCATAATCTATAGATCGCGGTTTCGCCCTGGACATTTGTTTTGGTGCCTCGACGCCCAGGAATCCCACTTTCGCGCGAGATTTCCTCACAATGTACCATCGAACAAAGGGCCTTCATCACCAGCTAGGGGGGCTGGCCGCTCCCTCGCCTTCCCCTCCGAGCTGGCGGCGCCCCGTTCCAGGCGCGCCCCCAGAGTTCCCAGAACGGCGTACCACCCAACTCGGGGGGGGGGGCCCTTGGAAACGGAGTTCTGTGGAGCTCTGGTGGTGGTGGTGGTGGCGGCTTCTGCTTCGTGAGCAGCGTACTCAGGACTCGTGCTCTCGCCTGAGGCTCCTCTTACGACTCACAGAGACCTGCTTCCCTGCCCCGCCCGCCCGACCCGCCCGCCAGGGTCCACCCGTCTTGGCCGCCCGTGGGAGGCCGCCCGCCCGGTCAACGCGCTCGCGAGGTCCAGCCCGCCAGGCCCGCCAGTTAGGGTCCGCCCGACCCGCCCGTCCGACCCGACCCGCCCGCCAGGGTTCGCCCGTCCGCGTGCTTGGGAGCCCAGAGGAAGAAAACAAGTACCCATACCTCTACCCCCTCGCCCGTTTTCTCCTTTCGGGCCTCCTCGAAGGCCCTCGTCGCCACCGCTGGATTCGCCTCGAAGTCCAGGTCAGAACGCACCTTGGGAGAGGTCCGGGGAGTAGCGGTATGGGTACCTTTTGGCTTCCCCAGGAGCCCGTCCCGCGCGTTGTGGTGCCCCGCCCGCCTGGCCCTCCCGTTGGGGTCCGCCCGCCCGACCTGGCCGTCAGGGCCTGCTTGCGCAGAGGCCTCCAATTCTCTTCCCTCCCTCTCTCTCTGGCTCCCCTCCTCTTTCGTGTCCTCCTCCTCCTTTCGTCGATATTTATCTTTTCCTTTACCCTCCTCTTCCTATATTAGAGGCCGCACCAAGGGAGATATACACCCAAAGGGGGAAACGATCGAAGACGAAGAGGGCGGGTATCGAAGGATCGGGTATACATGTTGAGAGACACGCGATCAACGACGAGCGAACAGTCTCATAATGATTGATGGTGTTGTTGTTGCTGCTGTTGTTCTTGTTGCTGCTGCTGTTGCTGCTGTTGTTTTGTATTGCTGTTGTTGTTGCTGTTGCTGTTGCTGCTGTTGTTGCTGCTGTTGTTGCTGATGTTGCTGCTGTTACTGTTGTTGCTCGTGTTGCTGTTGTTGCTGTTGGTGTTGTTGTTGATGCTGTTGGTGTTACTGTTGATGTTGCCGTTGCCGTTGCTGCTGCTGCTACTGCTGCTGTTGTTGCTGTTGGTGTTGAATATTCACTTCTAGAGAATAATTCTTGCTGATCTCCAGAAACGGTTCCGCGCGCTCTCGCCCCGATGCTGGCTACATTTTCTCTGTAAGCGAGGCTCCCGCGCGAGCGTTGGCTTGAGTGTAAATGTGGGCCCTGGAGGCCTGGCTGCAACGACAACGGCTCCCGCTCGATACTTCCTCACAATTTTCCCCGAGACACCCTGGCCAGAGAGGTCCTCGAACTCAGGAACGGCGCTCTCGCTCGAGACTTCTCGCGATTCAGTCAAGTTGGCGGAGGCCCAGCCACGACGACAAGGGGTTTCGTTCGGTACTTCCTCACGATTTACTCCGAGAGCCCCTGGCCAGGATGGCCCCCGAACTCAGGAACGGCATTCTCGCTCTAGATTTCCCTGCGATTCAGTCAAGTTGGAGGAGGCCTAACTACGACGACAAGGGCTTTCGTTCGATACCTCCTCAAAATGTATTCGCAAAGGCCCTTGCCAGAGAGGCTCCCGAACTCGAGAGTGGCGCTCTCGCTCGAGATCTCCTCGTAATTCAGGCAAGTTGGTGGAGGCCCACACACGGCGACAAGGGTTCCCGTCCGATATTTTTCCATCTGTATTCCGAGGGCACCTGGCCAGAGAGGCCCCCGAAGTCAGGAACGGCGCTCTC